CAACTCAGATCTGTAGCTACACAGGAATCTGCTGCCAAAGTGCAATAAAAGACTAAATTAATAGAATCAAACCCTTTTTTTGTTGCATTTTTGTAGAATATAAAAATAAATGCCTTTTTAAAAATAGGATGCAAGCAACACTAGTTTCTTAACCTGAATTGATAATAGACTATAATCAATTTAAGTTTGCATTCTTATACCATTTTGTACAATAATTATAATGAATAAGTTCAAACAAACTAAAACTTACAGCTGATTAATAACGGTATCTAACTTGAGTTTTTATTATATCAAAAACCTGTTGAAATGCTACTGTTATTTTTACTGTCCCTCAAAAGCGTGTCGGCAGCCTCCAGGAATGCTACTTTCACAACTTCGCCGTCTTTCAAAGACTTCATGTGTTTCGCAAGAACGTGACTGACACGATAAGATGCTATGGTAGCAGCCTTGCTCTTGTTGTTGGGCCTGGTGAAAATGGACTGCTGTGCATTTAGCTGTCCTTTCAGGTCCCTCACCTTCTGGGAGCGTAGGGCAGGATTAGGAGAGAATTCCGTCTCGTAGCGTTTGTGCACTGTTTTGAAATGCCGCTCCTAAATTACCCTTCTTCGATAAAGCCACGCAGCTCATTACAGATGAGGTAGATGGACTTTGAATTGGAAAAGATTAAAAAAAAATCATCCTCCCACTCGGAGTGAAAATTATATATTTTGGGCTTTTTTGCTTCTGCCATAATTGCGGTCTTGTGTGTGTGCGGACTGTCACTCAGCAAAATAGTGCCCACTGCCCACCAGCCACGCCCCGACAAATGGGGTCACGCCGGCCAATCACAAAGCTTTGATGCGTTCAAGTGCATTATTCTGGCACAGGAAGATTATGTTACAGGACATTAAAGATAAAACAGAATATTGTTGTTCTATTTTTAGACACACCTCGCGATCGACTGGGAATCTCCCCACGATCGCCTGGTTGGGCACCCCTGATCTAGCTCAATCCCTGCTACAGGAAAATAATTTCAGATGAAATAAAAAAGGATATTTATTACCAGATATTATGTGTGATGTATGGCCCCTTGAGGCGTTGCAGCCCAGTCGATGTGTTCAGCTGTGTCACAGGGAGGCAGACAGACGGTGGCAGTCTGCACCGAGACTCACTCTGAGAGCTCGGAGCGGTTCTCACCACAGATCCAGACCCCCTGCCTCAGGATGGGCATTATCACCTGGCTCTGCAGAAAGAGATGAGTGAATCTATCCCTGTGTCTGTGCAGTGTACGCGTGGAAAGGAGAGACTGATGAGGAGTATGTGTGGTGCATCGAGCAGACGCTGTTCTTCAAGGACGGTCAGCCCCTCAACATGATCCTGGACGACGGAGGAGACCTCACCAACATGGTCCACACCAAATACCCCAAACTGCTCGCAGGTGGGTTTACACAGTTATAATAATGTTTGTTTATCCCTGGTTCCCTAGTCTAAGGAGGGTATAGAAATAAGAAGTTGATGACAATACAGTCTTCCTGTTATTCCTCTACTTTGTTGCCACTTTAATTGTGGTAATCTAAAATGTCACTTTGATTTACTTTTATAAATATTAATATAAAGACAAGGGAAATAGGTTTTTCTAATTAATATTTTTTAAGTTGCAATTTAAAATCTCCAAAAATGGGTAATATCTATCTTATGCCTCAAGCATTAACATCCCGTGGATCTAAGCGGTGGGAACATGTTTCATAATGGGTGGTATTAAAAAGTCTCAATGTTTTGAATCCACCATGACTTTAGGAACCCTGAGTTTCACCACCAGTCATCTCAGTCTGGTAGTTATTGTTTTTGGCTTCTTTTCTGTTCATAAATGGCTGCTGCCGTGTGAAAGGCATTCAGAGGCTGGAGGAGAGTTCCCACTCTGGACTGTATGAATGACATGTAGAGTTTTTGACACTAGATGGCGGCAGTGGTCTGATACAAGCTGATTAGTTGCCAGAGTTCATTCATCTTACACTATCTTGAACTTTCATTCACAGCAAGTATTTTTAAATATAGTAATGTTCCATCAGTGTGTGATTTATTAACTCCTTCATGCATGAATTACAACAAACTAAGGATATTTTCATCTTTATGCATGAGAAAAAAATTAAAACATATTTTTAAGTAATATGTGTTTAACAAACCAATGAACACAATTATATATTATGCAAAACTATAAATTATTTGCATTTTGTTGGCTCAATTTTGGCTCTCTTTTTTTCGCCGTTGTCCACGTTCCCTGCTGTAGTGCTGCTACGTTTAAACCACGATTCCATTTCAATGTCGATTCGTTATACAAACCATACATTTGTACACTTTACCATAGTTTGTTAGTTTTATATCTTGTAATTAAAAAAAAAACGTAACAAATAAAACAAAGCTCCAAGATATTCTCCAGCACACTGATGCATAAGGTGATAATAAATGTGATGTGTTCAGCTGTGTCACAGGGAGGCAGACAGAAGGTGGTAGTCTGCACTGAGACTCACTCTGAGAGCTCGGAGTGGTTCTCCCCACCAACACCTTGAAACGTTCTGTTCATTTGTATTCGCATGCTTGTAAATATGCAAGCCTGTTTTTTTTTTAAAACCAGCGCAACTGTTGAAAGCAAAAATACCGATGTCAGACCACCATACCAATCGATGTGTAACAAACAGTATTCATAATTTTTATGACATGATATTCTACAGAACTTAATCATTTTCATTCACCGAATAATACATTATTCAGAATATAACTTGAATGCATCTCAATGCAACCTTTTAACATTAGCCTTTAGGTCTGTTATTTTGCCACAAGGACTATGCTGCACACTTGCTCACAGATAGCATTAACTAGCTATTCTCTTCTAGCCCCCCGGTACTTTAGAAACACAAGTGCAGTAAGGCTTTCTGAATTCTAAAAGTGATTCTAGTAACCTCGCTGTCCTCACCATCAGGGGGATTTCTTCACTTGTTCATCAGGAGAAGTGTATCTATAATGATATTTCTCATTAACCCTGGGACCCTGTGTTTTAGGTATCCGTGGTGTCTCAGAGGAGACCACTACAGGTGTACACAACCTGTACAAGATGATGAAGAATGGCGAGCTGAAAATGCCTGCAATCAACGTCAACGACTCCGTCACAAAGGTACGCAGCCTCCATCTTTTTATCCTCTTCAGCTGTATCTATAGTGCGAATAGAAGACGGACAAAATAGCTTATAATTCTTGTTTGTGTAGTTTTAAGTTAATATGTATAAAATACTAAATTTGTAGCACGATTTGTTGAGGTTCTGAGAGCGTTTGCAGTTTTTATTCGATCAAACTTCTCATATCTTGACAATACTGTTCTTTTTTAATAATTGGTCTTTATCAATGTTCCACATTTGAAAGTAATAAAAACAGAAATACTAAATGGATTATAAAATGAATACAAATTCATAACTATAATTTATAAGTGAATTGAGTTAAAAAATATATTTGTTTCAATGCTTAGGACATATTCTCATATTCCATAAATACATCAAATGCTCCCAGATTGAATGATCCGATCTGTCTTCATGCTTTACATCGTTTTGAGAAACAATTGTAATGAATTTATCTGACAAAGTATTATTGCATAATCCTTATTCAGCTTTAGTGACTTTGAATGAGGGGATATCGTTACAAAGTCCGATTCTGACACCAGGCCCTCAATGTGAACTGGTATATCTATCTGCAATTAAAGTTGACATCCGGTTGAAAAATATATATTTGTGTCTCTCCCTCCCTGCAGAGTAAGTTTGACAACCTGTACGGCTGCAGGGAGAGTCTCATCGACGGCATCAAGAGAGCCACGGATGTGATGATTGCCGGTAAGGTGGCGGTGGTGGCTGGGTACGGGGACGTGGGTAAGGGCTGCGTCCAGGCTCTGCGCGGCTTCGGAGCCCGCGTCATCGTCACAGAGGTCGACCCCATCAACGCCCTGCAGGCCGCCATGGAAGGTAGAGGATGATTCCCTAAACAACATCATGGAGAGAGGCAGCACATATAAGTTCAAAGTCGTCTGATTTTAAAGGATTTATTGTCATATGCACAACCCCTGCATCATGGAAGTTATTGGCAATTAAAATCTCAAGGCCAAAGCTCCTCCAACAACACAATAGGCGCTTTCACATTATTAAACACATTATTAAAATATGACTTTTTCTACATTATCATTAGTTAAAATCATTCAAAATGACCTTTTAACATAAATAAAACAGAAATCATTAGATGATAATTCATCAACCGTGCGAAGTGTGCCCCGTCCGGGGTAGGGATGCCAGCGATTATTCGAATATTCGTTACAGTCTCCATAATTGAAAAATATTTTTAAAATTCGATTTATATATATTTTTTATTATTATTTATGTTGTTTTTTTTTTTCCTGGCTTAGTTTCAACCAAAATATAGACTAATGCTAATAATAGTAATAGTATTAATAATTGTAAATGGCCATTGGTCACACCACCAGTTTTGTTTTACTGTAAACTTGGAGGAAGCCAGCAGCGCAGAGTGCAGACTGCTGCACTCTGCGCAGCCCTTCGCTGCGCTGCTACACACCGACCCCGCCCCCC